TTGCTTCTGAGGTCAACGAAGACGCTGGAGCGACACATGTCAAGGATTCTCCCGGCGCTTTGTGCTGCTGAGAGAAACAGCGGCTTTGAAGTAGAATGCCGAGCACCGCTGTGTAGGCCTGTTATACCGCCCGTCGCACCTCAGACTTAGCGTTCTGGCCGGTGGGCAGGCGTGAGACAAAACGCTTTTATTTGTTATGATATTGTATGTAAAGTCAAATGAAAGTACCAAAGGTATTCAAAAATGTTGTTTGCATCTTTTTATACAAATAAGGCATGGGTTTCGCAGCAATTGATTGGGACCATGTTAGGAAGTGCAAGTTGCGCGCCGGTATTGATTATGCGGAGATCGTGAAGCTCGCCAACGCTTCCAGCTCATTGTACGATGACATCACAAAACCAAACGTGATATTGTTTTCAGGTGCGGGCGGAACCATCTTAACGGTAAATTTGGGACTACAGGGATCAGCTAGTATTGCAAAATACGTGGGGGTAAGGGATGGAGAGGCAGGAAGAAAAGATAGCTGAACCTGCCTCCCAAATGCACTTAAAAGTGTTTTGTCCCCAGATTTTAAACATGTTCTTTTCAGAATTGAGAGGAGGAGTGTGGTTTCACAAACCTGTTTTTGGGCTAAACCATAAAAAGTTATTATAAATGAAAATAAGGGATAAAATATGATAACTAAAAACAAGAAACTACAGCCCTGGTTGGGGGGGGGGGGGGGCACAACCTACACGTCTCTAGGCTGGTTATGTTGAGCATGCCTTCTCTCATAATTTTACGAGTGTGGTATGTGGTTTTACGAGTGTGGTATTCCCCGTTTACCTACATGCTGGACTCATCTTCATCATCATTCATCATCATCTTCATTCGATTTTTGTTTTAGTTCCCTTTTTAGTGATTCAAATTCAAGATCACAATCTGTGAAATTGGGTGGTCATTTTTTTGTTGATTTGATTTTGCTTTAGCTGAATGAAGAAAAATTGGAATCAAATATTGATTCCAATCACTTCCGAAAAGGCGTCTCCGATTAGAATTATGATTCGACTCCCAAAATTTTCTAGTCCGAACCGATTCAAATCACGGGGCACAAGCAAATCGATTCAAACCGAACATAGTTCTGATTAGCGGAGATGATTACCTCTAAGTAGCCTTTCCTTTTGTGATCCACCCTGGAGGGCGTGGATTTATCTAAACAACCGGCTTTGCTCTGGTACATCGACCCCGTGCTGTCCACCGGGACCGAGAGTAAGACGGGGGCCATGATAACCAGCGAATGGTCAAGGCTCTCCTGCTGCGGTGCTATAAAAGTGGGTGCTCTGCCGCGTGCGGTGCATCTAAGCATGTTTCAGCGTTGGGGTGTGCAACTAAAACATTGAACCAGAAAAGTCGTTTCCATGCCCGAGTGACCTCGTGCGGACGACGGTGCCAGCTTCCGGCCGCAGATTGTTGTGCGGTAAGTTGGGCTCCCAGATCGAAATGAGCGAGGGGTCCGTTCAATACAAGAGTTTCCCAAGAATAGCATTAGAAATGGGCGTTGCGCCGAAGACGCGTGCCTCCATCCGCCGGCAGCACCAACAGGGCCCGGGCACACGTTCGTCGATGCGGCCGGCCGGCGATCGCTGCGCACGGTTAGGTGAGTGTCAGACTGAAATGGCGTATGTTGCTCGCCGATTTGGTCGGTTTATTAATCGAAGTGATGCGTTCTTGCTAGCAGATCCGTCCAAAACTGTGAGTTGGAAGCTTTGTAACTGATGTTGTTTAAGGAAAACAAGAAGACAGACACATTTCGCTCAACATTTCCAACAACCCTTAAGAGAATCTCGTTCATATAACAGCAGAATTGAAATAAGTACACATCAAAATAACATTTGAACACACGCTCGGATGGCCAGTTGAGTTTGGGTTGGTTGGGCGGTGGGTGGATGGGGGTTCATTAGACCACGTGATATTTGAAAAACTAAGAGAGCTGGAGACACAAAATTCACTGGGTAGGTATTGCATGTGACGCCACTTGCATACAATTTTGTCCTTCCCAAGCCGTACATTTTGGGTCAAATAAGGTTAAATAAGGTCAACCTCTAGCTCGGTGTCGGAAGTGCCCTTTGGTGTTCTCATGTAACAAGCCTTAACCTAGATATCTCGCATAACCCAAATGTCATTGATTATCGTATCACGTCAGTAAACGTATTTGACCTTTGGAAGACAAATGAAGAGGTTAACCGAAGTCATCGATGTTATTGACATCTCCTGGCCTCCACAAAGCCAAAATAATGAATTGTCTGACATCGTTGCGATTCAGGAATTCGAAATGATCGTGAAAACCACCGCACAAAGCAAGATTTTCAGTAATAGCGCGGTTGACCATGGTCCAACCTTCATACCTGACCCAAGGTCAGTGCAGTTAGTTGAAATCGTTATTTCACTGGTCTAATTTCTTTTAAAAAACACAATTGTTGCATGACTTCTTCTAAACACTCCGTCGCCACATTATGCTGAAGGATTCTCAAGAAATTACCTTCGTTGACAGTCATGGCCTGCTATTGGGTCAGCAAACGTACGACGCACATCCAGTTTTGTGTACTAAAAATACACTATGAAATTGCCTACAGCCATGCGAAGTTTGACTTGGTTGCAACGCACCGTTCGGAAGTTATTTGGGAAAAACTTTCGGGAGGGGGACAAACTGACTCCCAACCGGGCGCGTGTTACAAGTGGTGTCCACAGTAAGCGGGCGTCAGCCTCAGCACGGAACGACTATTGATCGGTCGCATCGTATCGGATCAACGGTTCCATCTTATTGTCATCGCACCAGCGCACGGTAGATTGCATTGGACTGTATAACTTTTTACGAGTGCCAACCTGAACCGCGGAGCCGGATGTATTGGCGACAGTTCTTTCACCTCGCCTAACCTGTTGCGACACCCGGGATTGACACCCATCCTCCTCTCAGGCTGCCTGAGAGGCTAGGTTGGCACGGCTTACAGTTCAGCTGTAGCATCACGGATTTCCCTTTGGGCTTACTCTTGTCACTTGATTGCGATTTCTCACGCGATCGTTATTTTTTCAGTGAAATTCTTTATTGGGTGACGAGCCGCAGGTCGAGGTCGCAGATAGTTATACCGCTGTTGCATTAACGTTTGGCGTTTAAACAAGGAGGCAAAGCAACGGCGAGGCGACTGGGCGGTACGGTACATGTTCAAACGAAAAGGCTTGGTGTTCCGCTGCTCTTTAGCGATTAATTGTGTCGCTGCTGGCGACGTTGTTCTCTGATAATATTTGTATTATGCATGGCTTTTTTATTAACATTTACGTGCATATGCTTTTATTAAACTACAAAGCTCATTGGCATTAAACGTGTTCCCACCCGTATCCTCTGAAACCACCAATGACTACATAAGGGTCTTGAGATAAGGAACACATTTAGAGGCAACGAATAAGAAGCATACACCTGTGAACAGGCTTCATCATAACTGGTTTAGAAACTAATGTCGGGAGACCTAAAAATTCCATCTCCAATAGGAAATAAAGTATTCCAATAGAAAACCTCGAATAAAAAAGTCCATATCGCAATAATAAAGTCAATGAAGTGTGCCCCCCCCCGCGCTCCTAAGACGCTTACAAGGCTGACTTGTCCACAACGAAGAGAATACTGCATACCAAAGGTGTTTTTCTGGGCCCAGCTGATAAACACAGATCCGTCGATGATTTTCTTGTTTTCTTGTAGTTCAGCTGACGGCGCCGCAATGCTATGTCCTACAGTACCGTCTTGACGCTAACGCACTGTTTCGTGCCACTACCTCCTGGGGGCCTGTTCCGAGGCCAAAACTTTGTAGAAGCATTGCAGCGTGAACGGCGAACCGATGGCGCACAAAAACATTGCGGCGTGAACGTCGAACCGATGGAACACAAAAGCATTGCGGCGTGAACGGCGAACCAATGGCACACAAAAGCATTGCGGCGTGAACGGCGAACTGATGACACACGAAAGCATTGCGGCGTGAGCGGCGAACTGATGACACACAAAAGCATTGCGGCGTGAGCGGTGAACTGGTGACACACAAAAGCATCGCGGTATGAACGGCGAGCCGATGGCACACAAAAGATGAAGCAAATCAGGAGCAAGTTGTGCTATCTTCCGTGTGTTTGACCGTAAATCAGGAGCAAACTGTGCTGTCTCCCACGTGTTTGACTGTAAAAGTCTGTTAGGTGGCCCGCGAATGCAACGATCCTACCATTTTAGGCAATCTTCATTCACGTGCTTCGGAAGGTTGATGACCACCGAGTGGATATTTCCATACGAAATTTATTATGTATACCCGATTGCTTGTTCAACGCACAGTCACCATGTTCTTGCACAAAAAAGAAGTAGTTTTAAGTTTCCAATCGGACCAAAACTAGCTTCCTTCGTAAACGATAAAGCTATCCCCGTTTCCGTTCACCATTCACTCCTATCTACGAAACAAGCATGATGAATGATCAGCACCCACTGGATGCATTACGTCGAGCACAGTCATACGCACTAAAAAAACAGAGCAGATGCATGGTGCGGTGGTTGGACCGTTTCAGAGCCAGCGCCAATGCCAAACGGTTTGAGCGATGAGAATGTTACTGCAAGTCGCTGATATGTTGATTGGGCGATATATCACCGAAAGTCATTTCGACTCATAACACATTTTGAGCCTTTTTTGGCGTCTGACATGTCGATACGTAGTCACGCTATAGGCGACCTGGGAAGACTTTGGAACTCCAGCTGGGACCGAGCATGAATTGATTCCGTCTGCACCGTCTCAAGGGACCTCTCCTGACGTCTACGCTTGGGTTTTTCTGACCGATGTCCTTAGACGGGGAGAAAAAGGACAAAAGAACAACGAGTCTTTGACAAAGGGGCAAAACGACTGCGATTCCGTGGCGCGGACACGCGTTCCGGCGCGATCTGACGGGCTGCGCGTGCCACCCAGCGGCACAGCTGGGTGCGCCTGAGCGGGCGCAATTCATACCTTCTCGCAGCGTGATGATCGGGTAGGATGCGACGCCCGGCTCTGAGGTGCCGATACCGTTGACGGCGGTGACGCGGAAGCTGTAGGCGGTGAAGGGCAGCAGGTCCCGCACCACGAACGTCGTCTGGTTGTTGTCGGTGAGGAGCGGCGTCTCGCTCCACTCGCCGCCTTCACCAACGCTGCAGCGAGAGAGACGGTGGTCGCCCCGGTGAGTCGCTCGAGCGAAGACAGCGAGAGCAGAGCAGACTAAAGAAGGCAGGACTCGCAGATAAACATGGCATCGGTCTAGAGAGCACAACGCCAGAAAGTTCTGTATGTCCTAGGCACAACTTCAGCCCATAGCACTCGCTTTGTGCGCGAGCGCGTGCGTGCGCTCGATAGCGTGGGTCACGCACGGCTTGTATCCAGTCGACATCGTGGTAACGTTCACATAACAAGCGACATTGAAACCAGCGTCGCCCGCGGGACAGTCGGACACGCCTATCAATGCCCATTTTCGGTGAAACACCAAGCCAGTGGTGTTCTCCCAGGTCTACACCGTACTGGATCGGTGATGTACGACACCACAGTGTAATTGATGTCGGTCGCACTACCGCTTCAAGTGGACTTCATAGCTTACACTCCCTGTAACAGCCTAACAGGCAATAGATATCTGTTTTTCACAGGGGCTCGAAGACGTGATTTGAAAATTTATTGGTGCAAATGCTCGAACGAGCACTTGCAACAATAGATTTTCAGTTACAGTCAACTCTTGAGAAGCTAGCTTGGTTTCTTGTAACAAATGTCCGTTTCCCACCACGCATGGTCGACGGTTTTGCCCTCGCTTCTCATCACCTCGTGCCTGTGCCTGATGACCTAAAAGTGACCTACATGGGTTGCATCAGCCTGCATGGGTTGCATCAGCCTACATGGGTTGCACGACGGCTCTGTGCGCCGCGACGAAACGGTACAGACCCCGGCGCCCCGCGACAACCTCCGGAGTTAAAGGCCAAAATGGCCATCCGCACAGCTGACTTTCGGCTTTATTGATCCTCTGTGGTTTCTTATCAACTGATCACCAAAAATGAGTTCATAGCAACCAAAATGAATGCTTCTACCAAATTGGACGAATCGCAACCAAAATAAACACTTCATCACCGATTGGACATTCCTTCGCTGGGCCCTGAGTGACCTTCGTGACCCTCAGCACAGGCTATCAAGGGCTCGAAGGGCTGGCGCTGCACACTATCCCAGTCAGAAGTTTCAGTGTGCATCGCGAGTTTGTGCACCGCACCGTTGCGCCACAAAGGGCAGAACAAGTTGCAAGCGGCCAAGTTTTAAAAGTCTGCGCCGAATACAAGCGCGTACCGTCAAAACTATTGATAATTTCACGTTGAAAACTACATCCACGTGTTGCCCGTTTCATTTGTCTCTCAGCCACCCTTTTGTCACTTACATTTTGCAATGGTTCGCTCGCAAATCAGCCTGCAGTAATGGGTCGCATGGTGGCTTTTTACACCGTGACGGAACGGCGCTGTTCAGTCCCTCGGCGGCCGAGGTTGTTCAAGGTGAAACAGCCGTCTTGATTACGTGCCTGGCTCCCTGTTTCACTGCCTCCGATCGATTATGCCATCTCCCACAGATATCTCGACAACAGCTGGTCGGGGCGACCCGAGAGTGGCACGAAAAGATGTGTCATGCAACACGCTGCGCTCGCTCGTATTGCGTAGTATGCGCTCAAAGACGGGTTTTGCTTTCTTCTACGGGTTTACACGTGTTGTGTCAAATATCGGCACCCAGGACACGGTCACACTCGGGGACGACACGCTTTGATAAGCAGCGGATGGAGTAAGACGTTTTCGATTGTTCACACGCTTTTACAATATTGCGGTACCCAGGGCGCGAAGCGATTCGAGAGTGTCATGCTTCGACAAGCAATCTAACGGCAATCACATGGTGTAAGAGGTTGTGTCGCACGTGCCATGTTCCACGTGCACACTAGCTGTGAAAATTCACTTTGCTGCTTTTGTCTGTTTTTAAGTTTCACGCCACATTTCCGCTCTCAGAGCATGCAGTGGCACGGGCTGGTATGCCGCGATACGGGCTGTTGCGCGTTTCCACGCCTACGTACGCACGGGTTACGTTTCACACCCACACGTTCCGAAAAGGCTGAATTTCGTATCTTTGATAGATTTTGAAGGTTTCTGACACATCACAGTACCCGGGGCACGCAGCCACTGGAAAGTGGTATGCGCTGATAGGAAATCGAGCAGAAAATCACGTTACATGCATTGTCATGTTGCACGTACTGCATGTGACCCGTGCACTAGCCAGCAAGACGGGTTTGGCCGCTGCCGGCCGTTTTTCACATCAGCGCTATATTTCGGCAATGTGATGCAGCTGGAATCATCAAACTACAAAACATGCAAATTCAAAATCCTACGTTTTCTTACCGAGCGTAGCGAAGAAAGCGTGCAAACGCTTGTTAGCTACTAAAAGTTGTGTGAAAAGTTGGAGGTCGATTATTTTTGTTCTTGTGTTGATCATTATGCTATCACTTCCTGCTGGCGACGCCACGGGAGATCTTCCGTGCGCAAAGGCCGAAGGAAGAGCAGGTGGATAGAAGGCTTCGACCGCTGTTTGCGTGTTAGAAGAGAAGTAGGTACCAGCCAACATCATAAAGCGTAGCTCAAGAACAGAGCTGTGTGCTGTGGACACCAGTGGACGAAGGTGCCGGACTCAATTATAAGGAGTTTGTGGCGGGCTGGTCTGTGCCTGGATTCAGCGGCTTAAAATTTGGTCGATGCATAGTACTTGGCGTAAGCATGGAGTACATTGAACTGCTAGTTATTCGGCATTATGGTCACGAGTTCCTACGCTGACAATAATTGTAAATTAAGAGCATTCAGCAAAACATGCAAAATAATATCAAGGTTTTACGTTGTGATGGGTGCAGGAGCGGGAGCTCGGAGGAAGCAAGGAAGAACAGGAACAACAGAAGGGTAGTGAGGCAAAATAGCGCGTTTTGATTAAAGACAGCGTCCTACCTTTGAGAAATATCCCAAAAGCATACTGTAGTGAAATCGCAGGACCAGTTACGTCCAATAATAACACTGGGTAGTGACACTGCAGCACCGTAAGACATCGAACGCAATTATTTTCTAGTCCAAATCACGCTGGCCACGCATTGCATCAATACTGTACTTTTTCCCTGCAGTTGTCGCGACCACCGTCGTCATGACAACCACAGTGGCACCTTTATTGGTGTGGATAAAAGAACTTTTGTGATTGACCCAACGGAGGAGAATGGATTATTACCGAGAAGCACATTGGTTGAAGTCTGATTGCGTGATACTCCATGTGATACTCCCATTCCCAGAGCTTTATTGTGCCTCGAAGAAGCCACTGTAGTAGTGCCATTAAAGGAGAGGAGAAATCAAATCCATAGCTTAAGTTGCGTTGAATTTGCGGGATAAAAACTTCATGTTCGCCTATCTTTTTGTCCAAGCATGTTTCAAGCTTTCGTAGCATTTCTGACAAACATTTTGACAAATTGGTGCGTTGCAAACATAGCAGATCACGTAAGTTGGAAATAGTAAGACTGATGAGATGCATTACTTTTATGGTGGTGTGCGGGATGTCCATAAGAGTGTTCATTTTGGTCCAGGTACTTGTCAAATGTTTAGGGGGATTACGATTGATGTAAAACTTAATGCCTTTCAGAAACTTCTCCACTAACTTCTAAGCCCCTTATTCAAGTCCTTGAAAACAAAGGTATAGTGCAAACATTGGTACTTTACTTTAAATGTTTGAGACACAAGGGCAGAACTACAGCTGTAATACAACTAAGAATGTTCTTGAACTCCTGGTTTTTCGGCATTACGAGTTCAGGGTTCTTACGCTGAGAGTTATGTAGTTGCAGTATATAAGGAGGTACTGCAACCAACTTATCTGGTAAACATTGGTTACATTCCCCGGAGTGCGATATTTCCGTATCCTCGAAATATTACGGAGCAATCAAACTTGAAACCATCATGAACACGGTTAGCACCTACACTTTCCCACGCACGATGGGGTTTACAGCCGAATGCATTCCGCCATGATTTACTTTATAATCCTAGCGCAACTTCTGCCGAAATCCAAATGAACATCACGCACTAACGCATCACATTCAAAGCATAACTTATGCCTGCTGTACTGTGCAAACTACCATCGATGACGTCTTCAACACAGCAGACCACAGAAGTCACTGCTGCTGCAAACCAGGCGTTTTTCTCAAGCTCCCCGGGAGGCGTGCTCATCGTCTGTCAGCATGACTTCCTTCAACGTTCCTTTCCGCTGAGAAGTCTAACGTGAGCCCTCGACGCGATCTTGCGCGCGTCTGCGGTCTCCGTTCAAGATGCTCTCAAACGTCACACAATGGAGCGGTGGGGAACGCCGGCGACAAGGAGCAGACCCGCTCGACAGCGTAATTGGCTGCGCCGTCAAAACCAACTTCTCCCCCACCTCTTCGCACCATTTCGTGGCACAGCTTTGATCGTCGGCAGTGGCAATTTGTTTGGGACCAAAAGGTGTTGGCCGACCTTAAATTGTCGATGGGACGCCAACCAAGAAAGCGTTGCCACCACGCTGGCCGCGCCCATTGGTGCAGAATGATTTAGTGGACCAAAACAACTGTCCATATCGGTTTGAAGCGTTTTTTAATGTGTCAATCATTGCTGCTTATGCGTGGTTGCTCGTGTTGGCATGATGAAACAATAGCGGCTATATATTTTGCCAGCCGTTAGCGTAGTAAAAACGTTAAATGAGAAAAAAAGAGAGAGAGAGAGAGAGAGAGAGAGAGAGAGAGAGAGAGAGAGAGAGAGAGAGAGAGAGAGAGAGAGAGAGAGAGAGAGAGAGAGAGAGAGAGAGAGAGAGAGAGAGAGAGAGAGAGAGAGAGAGAGAGAGAGAGAGAGAGAGAGAGAGAGAGAGAGAGAGAGAGAGAGAGAGAGAGAGAGAGAGAGAGAGAGAGAGAGAGAGAGAGAGAGAGAGAGAGAGAGAGAGAGAGAGAGAGAGAGAGAGAGAGAGAAGAGAGAGAGAGGAGAGAGAGAGAGAGAGAGAGAGAGAGAGAGAGAGAGAGAGAGAGAGAGAGAGAGAGAGAGAGAGAGAGAGAGAGAGAGAGAGAGAGAGAGAGAGAGAGAGAGAGAGAGAGAGAGAGAGA